AGGGAGAGAGATAAAGAGTTAGAAACATCGATGAGAGAGAAACATCGATCAGCTGCCTCCTACACACTCCCAACTGGGTATGTGCCCGCAACCAAGGTACATGCCCTTGACCGGAATCGAACCTGGGACCCTTGAGTCCGCAGGTTGCCGCTCTATCCATTGACCCAAACCAGTTAGGGCTGTACCACAGCTTTTTTATCCACTCATCTACTGATGGGCACTTGGGCTGTTTTCCAGATCTTAGCTATTATAAATTGCACTGCTATGAACATAGGGATGCATACATTATTTCTAATTGGTGTTTCAGGGTTCTTAGGATATATTCCTAGAAGTGGAATCACTGGGTCAAATCCAGTTCCATATTTAAGTTTTTGAGGATACTCCAAACTGTTTTCCATAATGGCTGCACCAGTCTGCATCCCACCAGCAGTGTATTAGGGTTCCCTTTTCTCCACATCCTCGCCAGCACTTGTCATTTGTTGATTCGTTGATGGCAGCTATTCTGACAGGTGTGAGGTGATAACTCATTGTCGTTTTAATTTGCATCTCTCTGATGATCAGTGACTTTGAGCATTTTTCCATATGTCTCTTGGCCTTCTGTATGTCCCCTTTGGAGAATTGTCTATTTAGGTCCTTTTCATTTTTTAATTGAATTGTTTGTCTTTTGTTAGGTTGTATGAGTTCCTTATATATTTTGCATATTAACCCTTTATCAGATATATCGTTGCCAAATATGTTCTCCCATACAGTGGGCTTCCTTTTCATTTTGCTGATGGTTTCTTTTGATGTGCAGAATCTTTTTATTTTAATATAGTCCCATTTATTTACTTTCTCCTCAGTTTCCATTGCCCTAGGATATATATTCACAAAAATATTGCTATGAAAGATGTCTGAGATTTTGCTGCCTATGGTTTCTTCTATGATTTTTATGGCTTCACATCTTACATTTAAGTCTTACCCATTTTGAGTTTATTCTTGTGTATGGTGTAAGTTGGTAGTCTAGTTTCATTGTTTTTGCATTTTATCTGTCCAATTTTCCCAACACCATTTGTTGAAGAGACTGTCTTTACTCCATTGTATGATCTTGCCTTCTTTGTCAAATATTAATTGAGCGTAATGCCTTGGGTTGATTTCTGGGGTCTCCTGTTCCATTGATCTATATACCTGCAAATGTTTTTCCTTTAGTGTTTTCCCCCCACAGTGTTGAAGTTTTAAAATTTATGTGGTAAAATGTTTTCTTTTATGATATTTGGCTTTTTCACATATTTATCCATTCCTTTCTATGGCTAGAAATTTGGGTTCTGTTTTTCACTTTTAGAGTTAATGCCAAAGGGGAAACTTTTTATATGTAGTATCTCCCTTTCCTTCCACCCCCACAATAGTTTATTTCTCAGCATAAATTTCTGTGGTTAAAAATTGAAAGGTCAAAGGGTACTGCTTTCTGAAATATTATATATTACCATTACTTTTTGATTTTTCCATGTGTTTCACTGCTTATTGTGACCTTTTGGCACAATAAGGTTATTTAAGTCTCTGAGACTGGTGAAACATGTGAAAGCATGTTAAAAGTGTTTTGTACTGCTCTGTTGTCTCCCCTTCTTTCTCATCTTACTTCTCTCCTTTCTAAACGAGGTGTTTCCCAAAGTTTAGTTCTTGTCCCTCTTCTCTCTTCCATAGCATCAACCAGCTATGTGAGTGACTACTAAATCTCTTTCTGTCCTGGAGCTCCCTGCTCATTTTGGTATTTCTACTTGACTGCCAGATGTTTGTCTTGTGGATGGATACCCTGAAAGTACTTCAAGGTAAATATGTCCCAAACTGATTTCTTTTCCCTCTTGGAACAAAACTAGCACCTGACCAATGGCTTATGCTTAAATCTTTGAAGACATTTTACTCACTTTTCATCCACATATTCAGTTGGTTCCTAAATCATAAATGCTATACCTCAGTAATCTCTTACATCCCCCCCCCACCCCTTTTTTAAAAATAGATTACCAGGCATGTGCCCTTGACCAGAATCAAACCTGGGCCCTTCAGTCCACAGGCTGATGCTCTCTATCCACTGAGCCAAATCGGCTAGGGCTACATCTTCCCCTTTTTATTTCTGCTGTCAATTATTGGGGCTCAGGCTTTCATTACCTTTCACTTACAGACTGTTGTAATACCTTTTCCCCTTCAATTTTGCTTCTTTAATAGTCACTCCAGTCTGTCCTGTGTACCGCTTCTGTGTACATATTTAATATTTTCCTATTTAAAAACCTTTGTTTTTCTATTGTTTTCAGTCTGATGCTTACTTTCCTTTGCAGTTTGGCTTTTCTCCATCTTACCAGATTTCTATTCTACCGCTGTTATTTTCATCTGGTCCTGGGCTCAACTGTGTCCTCTCTGGGGAATATATTTACATATCATCATCCCCAACCAACTACTTTTGCTTTAAGGCCCAGCTTGAATTTCTAGTCATTTAACAGTTCTTCCTAAATTCTCTCCCAATCAAAATTACCTCCCAACTAAACCTTTTGGCCCCAGGCTTCATCACTTTTTATTTTTTTTAAATTAAAATTATGTTTTTGGTTTGTTTCTCCTCTACTCCTTTAGACTTTGAGTTCACACATTTGAGTTAATTATATTCCTCTGTCTATAGCACACTACACGGATACCAAAGCCCCTTATTTTGTTTTTTTCCTTCCTTATCAATCAATTACTTCCATAATCCCCTTTGTTACAGAAACACACGCGAATGTATAAAATATGAATTATATATACTTGTTTATATAAACTTGGGGATATAGCTGTCTTTCTCCATCACAAAGATTGTTAATTTTGAGTGCTTCTATCTTTTAATACTGCTTTGTTAAGAGTAAGTGGCCAATAAATGTTTTCTATTTGAAACTCAGAATATTATTACCAGTTTTACTAGCTTCCATATTGCATAGACTAAACACCTGGGGATTTAATTTCAGCTTTATTTTTTCACAGTTAGGGCAATTCTGAATCTAACCTATTCTCCTGTTGCAAACTTCAGACTCTCATCAACTTTCCTCTTTACTTTTGCAATAATTTTTTCAATTGGGTTCTGCTCTCAGACTTTCTCTTCTCAGTTTATCTTTCATTAGAAAAATCCAGATCAAATCAGGCCACTCCTTCCAAAAGCTTCAGAAAGAACTCTCAGGAACCAACCAGATCTCTTGTCTTACTTGTTCTCCCCAGTTTTTCTACTAATAATTCCTCTCAGCCTCCACTACAGCTGTATATGGGACTTTTTTCTTAAAAAACAACACTTTTTTACTTGCAGAGCTTTTATGCCTTTACTTACCATTTTGAAGTTCCAGTTATTGTTCACAACCTTTATCAAGTATTCAAATGCTACATTTTCCAAGCCATGCCTTTATTCTTTCCTTTTTAGCTTGCTTACCACTTTGTTAATATGCTTATTATTGTACTTACCTTGTTGTGCTTTATATTAAAAACCTTGTGGTATATGTCTTAACTCCCAGTGCCTGGTTCATTCTTTTTCTCTTTCTAGCATAAAACCTTAAAAATGTAGTGAGCAGATTGTAACTGCTTTGAAAAAATACTAAAGAAAATTTGTTAGGGATGTGATGGGATAACCAGTGCCATAGCAGTATTTTAGTTGAGCTTTGCCAGCTTTATTTTTCAAATATTATACAATGGTTTCTAATAGCTGTCAGCACTGTACAGCTGCCCCTGTATAAATACTTTTTGAAACGATGCAGTTTTTTATCTGAATTTTGTTGATGATGAAAATATGCACACACTTTTTATTTGCTAGCTAAACAGCTGTGCTTTTTGGCGAGAGAAGAAGAAATCATTTCTATATATTATCATGAGATTGAGACTTTCTTAAAACGAGATCTGTTGGAATTCATAATTAGATACTATACAATAGTTAAATGGGCCAGAACATTTGCTCAAAAATTTAAAATCTGTGGGTCTAGTGAAGCAATTGATGTTTGGGGGATGGTTCCTGTTTTCTGTGAAGATTAGTATAGATGTCAAAAATAAAGTCTGATTTCTGTCCATCTCCAGTCAGAGAAGCTGCTGCCACTTTAACAGCTGGCATCTTCAGCTCAGTGCGCCTGTTGGCATGTACACACAAACATTTCTGTAGGTGCTGTTGGGAATACACAGTTGTAGGAAATAATCTTGTTTTTAGGAACCTTCAAATCTGTTGGGAACAAACAGGTACACAAGTCTTTATAAAACACTAGAGGCCCGGTGCATGAAATTTGTGCACGGGAGGATCCCCCTCAGCCCAGCCTGCACCCTCTCCAATCCCGGGCCAACCAGCAGTCGGACATCCCTCTCACAATCCGGGACCACTGGCTCCTAACTGTACCCCCTGCCAGCCTGATCACCACTAACTGCTTCTGCCTGCAGGCCTGATCGCCCCTAACTGCCCCTGCTGCAGGCCTGGTTGTCCCCCAATGCCCCCCCCCCCCCCCCCCCCCCCCCCAGCCGGCCTGTAACAGAGAACATACAGAAAGAGGTAAAACTGGAATGAGAGACTGGGAAAGGCTGGGCCTTAACTGTGAAGGGCATTGAATACCAGGTTAAAGATTTTGGATTTAGTTTGATTGGCCAGGGAACCTTTGGTTTTTGAATAGTTACCTGATCATAGTTGTAGTTAAAAAAGTATTAATTTTACCTTGTGTGATATGGTTTCAATGCTAAAGACTAGAGAAAGGACTTGTTTAAAACTTGAGGTCCATATTCTTAACCTCTCTCCTACCTTTCTAAAGAAAGACCATTTGTAACTCCTAATGTGGCTCTTCTGGTTTTCCAAATTAATTTTCTAAACTCCTCAACTATGACTTAGTTGTTCTTATATATCATGGTGAGTTTCTCTATCAAGCCAAACCTATTTGCAACTGCCTGTACTGACACCCTAAATTAGTCATAGCTTTACTTTTCACTTCCGTATTTGAAGAATCATTTTGAGCTATTTTATACGTATTACCGTATGCTTTAAATTTTTTCTCTTATCAGTGGCTTTCCCCAAGTACATGATAAAGTCCACATGAATGAACTATTCCTAGAATATTTATTTCTGAAAGTAGAAAAATATAATGGAAAGAAAATGCATTCTTACAAAAACTAGTTGTGAAACCATGGATAAAATAGCCCATGACTCAGTTTAATTTTTTGTGACATGGATCATTTAACAAAATTGAAATTATTGCCCAGCTGGTGTGCCTCAGTGGTTGAGTGTCGACCCATGAACCAAAAGGTCACTGGTTCTATTCCCAGTCAGGCCACATGCCTGGGTTGCGGCCTTGATCCCCAGTAGGGGGCATGTAGGAGGCACCCGATTGATGTTTCTGATAGATGTTTCTATCTCTTTTCCTTCCTCTCTCTAAAATGAATAAAAGTATTTTTAAAAAGAACTGTCTTGTTCTTTGCATATGTTAGGCACTCAGAATAATTGTTCATTTTGACTTAGATGCATTAGGAGAGGGTGTAGTTTGCTCTAATACTTACTTACACATTTACTCAGGGAGGATGTACCTCGGATAATTTGTTTGTTTTTACCTCTTCTTTCCTGTTTGTTTCTTCCTTTCCCTATACATTTTCTGTAAAGTCCCAAGTTAGCAGTAACACAGATTTTAAAATCCTGATTCTTATTAAGATAGTCAAAACTTTGATTAAAAATTAATTTGTAGTCAAGTAAGGCTTGCTGCTTGCTGTTGCTGTACTGCAGCCACAGCCTTCTCCTCCTCCTCCCCGACCTCCTCTTCTCTTCCTTCATCTGTCATTTATGTGAAATCTCTTATTCAGTGCCTGAGCTAAGATTAGAATCCAGGTCTTCTGGTTCATAGGTCATTGGGTTTTTTTTCATTACAACCAACAGTTGAATACTGAAGCTCACTGATATCAGATATCATGGGTACATGTAAGAAGATAATTAGATGATTTTTTGTTTTAACTCACTTTCAAGGATGAGGTAAGTAATACAGTATTGATTTTCAGTAAGAAGAACTGGGCCATAGTATTTTGTGACAGTTGGGATCTCTTCTCAATTGTAAATAGTATTCTTTTTTTTTTTTAAAGAGTTTTTAATTTGTCTAGTATTACATTTTTATCAAGTGGTAGACACTCCACTGAAGAACACTACTTTAGAAACAAGATGTTACCAGAAGTTCTTGTCTACATTTGTAAAGGAGATAACTTTAAACTTTGAATTAAGTTTTAAAAATTGGCATATAAAGCTGGCTTTATGAAAATGAAGAGATTTGGCGGGGGGGTGACATGCTTTTGCTATGGTTCTTACATTTTTAACTCTGAATTGAGACTTCAGACACTATTTGCTGGAAAAGAAAACAAAGGAAGTCAATTGGGAAACTGTTGAAATTTAGCGTTCTGTGAAGTGGCTAGATGTGGGGACCCCCCCCACACACACAAAATGTCAAGTTTTCTTATCTATAGTAGTAATTACTGTATTGCCCAAAGTATTGCATCATCTTTGAAGAAGATGCAAAAGCTGTCTGGACATATCCTTATTAGTCTTTTTGCTTGTTTGGTTTAAGCTTTCATTTAATGTATTTGAAATTTTAGATTTCTTCATTTTTCATTTTCCATCTGAAATCAATAAAAATATATTTTAAAAAATAAAAATAAGAAAGAAATATCTTCTTACCCTTTGAGACAGCATGGAGGGACCTGGAGAGTATTGTGCTAAGGAAGTAAGGCAGAGAAAGACAAATATCACATGTTCTCATTTATAAGTGAAATCTAAAGAATAAAATAAATTGATGAAGAAAATAGGGTCATAGGTATGGATGCATGGGACAGAATAACAGACCTCAGTGGAATGGGAAGGTGGGCAGAGGGGACGGGAAGAGATTAACCAAAGAACATACAGTGTATGCATATACTAGTATGTATTGCACATGGACACAGACAATAACATGGGGAAGTCCTGGGGTTGGGTGGGGGTTGAGTTGGGGGGAGGGCAAAAAGGGAGAAAATGGTAGACATCTGTAATCCTGTCAACAACAACAAAAAAGATTAAGTGGAAAACCACAATACGTACAAAAACATTCATTGTTCATATAGAAAATTTAGAAAATGATACAATTATAAAATAGAAAATAAAATAAAATAAAAATTATCCATAGTCCCATTAAAAAAATACTGTCTCAAAGACAAAATGGATGGATACAGTCATTGTGCCGATTGGTAAATTGGTGTTACCTTTCAGAATGGAAATTTTGTAAAAGTTAGCAAAAACCTTAAACATTTATGCCTTTTGACCCAGTAATTTTACTTCTTGGAATCAATCCTAAAGATGTTATCTCTGCCAATGGGTGGGGAAACTTTCTTCCTAGTTCTTCCTATGTTTACTAGTATTCCTTCCTCAGAAACGCAGACAGCTCCTGTTGGGCCACATTTTGTAGTTTTCTGCTGCTGCTTTCTTGTCCCTCAGTGAGTAAGATACGTAAAGAACTTAAATCCTTGGGTAGGCCTGATAATTCTAACACTCACAAAAGTCGTTAAGAGTTCTTATTGCTTAGGGCACCTCAGTGTTGTGGTAAATTTAGATTTCGGAAGACTATTTTCAGGGGTCATTTCTATAGTTTGTTACTAGAGAAGTTTCTCTGACTTATAGAGCACCTAAGCCAGCAGTCGGACATCCCTCTCACAGTCTGGGACCCCTTGCTCCTTACCACCCACCTGCTTGCTGCTCCTTAATGGCTCGGCTCACTGCTCTGTGGGCCTGGCTTCTGGCTGATCAGCACTCCCCCTGTGGAAGTGCACTGACTGACCATCAGGAGCAGCTCCTGCGTTGAGTGTCTGCCCCCTGGTGGCCAGTGCACATCATAGCAACCGGTCATTCCATCATTCGGTCTATTTGCATATTAGGCTTTTATTATATAGAATAGGATGGTTTTCTAATTTTATTTTCTATATGGGTGGTTACATATTTACAAATGTCTATGATTATGCATTTACGCCATATTTCATTGAGTCTAAAGATGAACATTGTTGTACTATAGTTTATGTCTGAAATTGGGATGTCATACAATCAAGGGTATGCCATGATTAAATTGGCAGCATTTTTCTGCCTTGGTGCCACATAAAATGAGGGTGTGTATTAAAATCTATAGCATCTTAGATTTGATGTATATTTGAAATAAAAATGAGATCATGATGTTCAGTTATTTCCCCACCTAAATATCTCGAGCATTTCCCCATATCACTATATTTAGATCTCATTCTTAACATATTTAGCATATTATTATGGGTGTATCATAAATTGTTCAACTAATTCCTCTTGATGGACATTCAGAGCTTTTCCAGTTTTTGATAAAACAGTACTGTGTTGAATATCCTTGTCTATCTATATCTTTATACACTTGAGTGAAATTTCTTTTTATTAAATTCCTAGATCAGTGGGTACACATACGTATTTTTTTAGTGTATGAGGATACCTGTTTCCCTATACCCTTAGTAGTTTTGTGTTTTTGGAAAATTTTTAAATTTTTGTTAATCCAGTAAGTGCAACAATATCCTGTTTTAATATAATTTCTTTAATTATGAATGAGATTGAACTTCTTTTTGTTTATTAGCTGTTTTTATTGCCTCTTCTGTGATGCACTTGTGAATAGGATAGTAGACCTTTAATTGGCTGGCAGATTTGTCTTAATTAGAAAGAGGGAGGCATCAGTTTGGAGTCATGCATTATCATATTAATTCTTAGGAATAACTTTCAGGGCACAACCCATCCTTGATGGGGGTGGGGGTGTAGGGGGTGGGGGGGAGCAGGCAAGAAGACTTATAAGGACCCAAGATTGGGGGTGAGACAGAATTCAGGAATAATCAGAATTACTTCCTTTATAATGGAGACCAGGAAGGGTTACAGCATCATCAGTGTGTAGCTGAATACTGGAACTTAGACTATACTGTTAGTCTTTACACTTTAAATCCTCTTCTCTCTCTCTCTCTCTCTCTCTCACTCTTTAATAAATTTTTATTGATTTCAGAGAGGAAGGGAGAGGGAGAGAGATAGAAACATCAATGATGAGAGAGAATCACTGATCGGCTGCTTCCTGCACACCCCCCACTGGGGATCGAGCCTGCAACCCAGGCATGTGCCCTTGATGAGAATTGAACCCAGGACCCTTCAGTTCACAGGCCAACACTCTCTCCACTGAGCCTAACCATCCAGGGCCTCCTTTTCTCTTTAATATGAGTTGATTGTAGTACAGTGTATTAGATTAGTAGTTGTGAAATGGGGCACAACTCTGGGACTTGAGTGAAGTCAACAGGGGATCTAGAGATTAAATCTGTGATTGCTTAAGTTTAGATTAATACAGGTTTTTTTACATATTTCAAAAATGTTCTTGTTAACATTTTTGAGCATCTTTGCTATGCCAGAGTCTGTCAGTTTCAAAGATAGGTATCAGGTGGTTTCTGCCTTTTAGGTTCCACTATATCCTGTGCAGGAGACAGCTAGAAGGTACTAGAACATGAAGAGCACTGAGGAAAGTGCTTAGTCTAACAGAGTTTAAGGAACGGGTCCTAGATTAGATATGATAAGATCAACTGAGTATTGAAGGATAACTAAGAGTTAGCTGGTGGGTAGTAAGTAGTAAAAGATAAAGCAATATGAGAAAAGAAATGGATGGATGAAATGGACTTATGAGTAAGGTATTCTTAGAACATAAAGTCTGAGGTGAAACTGACTGTGATCAGTTTGGAGAGATAAGCAAGAACCAGATAATGGAGGGACTTAATTGTCATGCTAAAGATTCTACATTTAAAGGTCAAGGGGAATAATTTTGAGAATAACTTAGTCAAATTTGCATTTGAGAGATACTTGCCTGAAAATTGATTTAGGGGCAAGACCAAAGGCAAGGAGACTTGCTGGGAAATAGTTCTGGTAATCCATGTGAAAGAATTAAGGCAAAAGGACACATATGTAATACCCTTTGTAATACTTTAAGCAATAAAAAAAAAAAAGAATTAAGGCAGTGGTTCTCAACCTTCCTAATGCCACGACCCTTTAATACAGTTCCTCATGTTGTGATAACCCCCAACCATAAAATTATTTTCGTTGCTACTTCATAACTGTAATTTTGCTACTGTTATGAATCGTAATATAAATATCTGATATGCAGGTTGTATTTTCATTGTTACAAATTGAACATAATTAAAGCATAGTGATTAATCACAAAAACAATATGTAATTAGCCCTAACCGGTTTGGCTCAGTGGATAGAGCGTTGGCCTGTGGACTGAAGGGTCCCAGGTTCGATTCTGGTCAAGGGCATGTACCTTGGTTGCAGGTACATGCCCTACTGGAGATGTGCAGGAGGCAGCTGATCGATGTTTCTCTCTCATCGATGTTTCTAACTCTCTATCCCTCTCCCTTCCTCTATGTAAAAAATCAATAAAATATATTTTTTTAAAAAACAATATGTAATTATATATGTGTTTTCCGATGGTCTTAGGTGACCCCTGTGAAAGGGTTGTTCGACACCCAGGTTGAGACCTGCTGAATTAAGGCTTTAGCTCAGTGGTCAAAGTTCAATAATAATTAAGGTTTTAGCTCAATGATAAATTCTTACTGGAAAAATCAGTCATTTCTCTTAGTTTATATAATATTTGGCCCCCTTGTTCAGAATCCCTCTGAGATTAAATTTCATGAAACTCTATTATTTTGCAGAGTTGACTTATAGTCATTGTCCTATTGTTGTTCCTTTAGGTCTGTAAGAAGTTAGTTTATACTTTTATAAATAACTGCCTAACTGGTATGATGCTATATGGAGATAGTTAATAAGTGTTTTTGACAATTCTAAAAATTATGAGATATTAGCCCTTTTGGTATGCTTAGTGGTTGTCTTAGAGGGAAATAATTTTGGAGCATTTTGCCTTTTGGGTGAAAATAATGATTTGTTAGGCTAAATTTAGGTTATATAATTTCTTACATGAATTTATAACTCCTTTATGCTAATTTCTTTTTCTTTCTTTTTTTTAAAGGCTATTAGCAAAAGATGGTGGATCGTTTGGCAAACAGTGAAGCAAATACTAGGCGTATAAATATAGTAGAAAACTGTTTTGGAGCAGCTGGTCAACCCTTAACTATACCTGGACGGGTTCTTATTGGAGAAGGAGTACTGACTAAGTTGTGCAGGAAAAAGCCCAAAGCCAGGCAGTTTTTCTTATTTAATGATATTCTTGTATATGGCAATATTGTCATCCAGAAGAAAAAATACAACAAACAACATATTATTCCCCTGGAAAATGTCACTATTGATTCCATCAAAGATGAGGGAGACTTGAGGAATGGATGGCTTATCAAGACACCAACTAAATCATTTGCAGTTTATGCTGCCACTGCCACTGAGAAATCGGAATGGATGAATCATATAAATAAATGTGTTACTGACTTACTCTCCAAAAGTGGGAAGACACCCAGTAATGAACATGCTGCTGTCTGGGTTCCTGACTCTGAGGCAACTGTATGTATGCGTTGTCAGAAAGCAAAATTTACACCTGTTAATCGTCGTCACCATTGCCGAAAATGCGGTTTTGTTGTCTGTGGACCCTGCTCTGAAAAGAGATTTCTTCTTCCCAGCCAATCCTCTAAGCCTGTGCGGATATGTGACTTCTGCTATGACCTGCTTTCTACTGGGGACATGGCCTCATGCCAGCCTACTAGATCAGACTCGTACAGTCAGTCATTAAAGTCTCCTTTAAATGATGTATCTGATGATGATGATGACGATGATAGCAGTGACTAAAGACATTATTTGAAATATTTAATTGGGTATGACTATCTGAGAAATCAGCTTTGGGGAGAATGTAAAATTCTGAGCTCACTCTCAGTTTTGCTCCAGCCATGCATTTGCCTGAGAAACTTTTAACCCATGTGCCTCAATATATTCTATAGAAAATAGGTCCTGTTTTTGATTACTCCAACCCCACCACTGCCACACTCCCCTCACAGCCCCCAACTCCCCACTCTCCTACAAGGATAGCCTATTGCAAATATAGCAGATAAAGTTTTGGCTTCTTCTTGTTTAATTTTAGATTATTTTCTTGGAAGATCGGGAAAAGGTGTTTATATAACAGATCATGTACTACATTGTTTATTCTATGTTCTGTTATGTGGAAAAACTAAAAGCAAAGAATGATGGAAAAAGGAGTATAATGTGGTTAGTTAATAATATAAGCTTTTTTTCTAACCATTCTATCTAATGGTTAAGACACCAGTCACAAAAATACATGATTTAGAAATACTTTGGCTTTTTTATATACCAAGTGGTGCCTTATCATAATAGCACTGTTACATGAAATAAACCCCTACTTTCTCACTTTTTATTTAGTTTTAAAAATACACTGGTGCTCTTTGAATCGATAAAATGAGTGTTTATGAGTGGGTATAATTAGAAAATACTTGTCACCTGACAGCTACAAATAACTAAATTTAGAGGTTCTTCATTCTATATGCATAAATATTTTTCCATAAAATAGTTATGATTATGTTTTTGTTTTATAGGTACCAAATTATAATTGTCAAAAATTTTAAGTTAATAGGAGGTCATTTTTTTGGAATTTGGTTTGAAATTTATCCAATATAGAACTGTCATATTGCATTACTTTCTGTTTTTAGTAAGACATTTGTAGGTATAAATACATTTGCTTTAACATTATTTCTAGAATGAAAAATCTTATAAATCCTTGTGATGAATTAAAATCCTATGATAGCACAGATCTACTTAGGCTAAGATTTGGAAGAAATAATATGTAAGAATGGTCAAGACAGACCAGGATTGAGTAGACTTCTATGGAAGTATTGTCTATTTCAGTGTGAAACTCTTGAATTTACAAATATAGTGTTATATTTTATAAAGTTTTGTAAAGTCCCAAACAATATTTCTATTTTTGTAAGACAATTGTATGTTTAATCTGTTCCTGAAATAATTTTGTCATGTATGGAACTAGAGTAGCAATTGATTTTCTAAATTGTGAACTTTGCTGAGTCAGTCTAGATTGCTTTTGAGAAGTGGTAATTTTTCACTCTGCTTTGAGGCAGCCATTATGTTGAAAGTATATTTATCATACAAAACTTGATGCATTTTGCAATACTCTCTCCATTTGTTTGCTGCAAATAACTAGTCTTTCAAATATGAAAAATCAGTCTAAAGATAGTTTTAAATCCTAAATACTTTTGTTTTTAAACCTTTAAATCTGGATTTATTGCATATGTTATGAGAGATTTGACTCAGTAACTTGTGTGGAGGATTCTTTGGTTTGGTTAAGGCACTCATTTTACTGTTAAATTGTGAAAGCATTGAGATATGTAGATCTCCCTATAGGAAATGTGAAAGAAAGGCACAATAATTTTGTTTGTTTTAATATCAGATGGACTTTTGTTTCCAAGCAATATATCATATAATCAACATATCTAAAAAGGAACATGAAACCTGAGAAGTGCTAATGGAGACTTACTGGTACCTAGGAGCCTAGCAGAGTCAGGAACCAAGGGAAAGTGTTCTGTGATTACATTTGCATTGTCAGCCTCTTGACTTTTCTTTACAATAAAAAATGACTTCTTTACAATAAAAAATACCTTGCAACTTACCTTCTGTTCTGTGCATATTGTGACTTGAAGATTCCCCCCCCCCCCCCATGATGTAATGGAAATATCCATTTTTTGCTTCATTCCAAATCTGTGAGTGCCTTCTTTGTGCCAGGCATTGTTCTAGGCCCTTGGAGTAGAGCAGTGAACAAAAATTCCCTCCTTTTCATGCAGTTTACATGCAAATAGAATACATGTGTTTTCTTCCAGACTTTTTCCTCTATAATTAAAGCTTTTATAAATCTTAAGTTATATATAAACTTGACATGATTTTGATGCCAATTTTTCATGCCGTTTCTCCTGAATGAAATTTACCTGGACTGTGCAGGACACCCAGTACTTGGTCTAAATTGTTAACCACTGGTATAAAGGAAGCAAGATTCTATAGATGTCAAGGAGACATAGGACCTTAATTTGGATGAAGAATTCATGAATGAAATTTGTTTTTGTGATATAAAAAATAAGTGACCACTGTAATTTATAACTCTACATTTGTGTTTGAGCCAATATGGTAAATCGTGGTATATTTCAGAAAAATAAAAATAGGTAAATAGAAACCTTGATATTCACATGTACAAAGGACATATTGCTAATTAAATGAAAATAATTACATAGAATAATGTGTCATTGAGAAATAGAAAAAGCAGAGCAAACTGGCAGAGTAAGAACAGTGAATTTAAAAGATTATATTGTTTTGAATACCTGGGTTTTTTTAAAACCAGTTTACTTTTAAATTGATATAATAAAGCATATTTTGGGGCATAATGACTTCTAATTTCATAGATTTCTAGCTCTTTTTTTTCTTATTTTTATAAATATATTTTTATTGATTTCAGAGAGGAAGGGAGAGGGATAGAAACATCAATGATGAGAGAGAATCATTGATTGGCTGCCTCCTGCTCACCCCACACTGGGGATCAAACCCGCAAACCAGGGCATGTGCCCTGACGGAATCACACCATGACCTGATTTACAGGTCGACGCTCAACAACTGAGCCACACCAGCCAGGCTAGACTTTTATCTCTAAAAAGCATTTTAAAGGGATGTTTTATCTAAATCTTCAGTAATAGAAGCTGAAACCTGTACTAATAAATGCAAAAAAAAAATCCTCTTTTCATGAATAAACGGATAAAAAGCATGCTTGATGTATGATGATAAGCAAATGACTAGAGGCCCAATGCATGAATTCGTGCATGGGTGGGGACCCTCGGCCTGGCCAGTGATTGGGGCCGATTGGGGCTGGCCAGCAGGAGGGACCACGGTAGGTTGACTGTGGGAGTGCACTGACCACGGGGGGGGGGGGGCAGCTCCTGCATTGAGTGTCTGCCCCCTGGTGGTCAGTGCGCATCATAGTGACCGGTCATTCAGTTGACTGGTCATAATGGTTGCTTAGGCTTTTATATATATAGATAATAGGGAATCTTCAATGCTAATGTCATTAAACTTAGTGGTATTTTGACATTTTACATCTAGTAGTTGAAAAATAGCTTCTGTGATTTAGAATATTTAGTACCAGCTTTTAAGGCAGAGGTTCTCAACCTGTGGGTCGCGACCCCTTTGGCAGTCAAACGACCCTTTCACAGGGGTCGCCTAAGACCATCCTGCATATCAGATATTTACATTATGATTCATAACAGTAGCAACATTACAGTTACGAAGTAGCAACGAAAATTTATGGTTGGGTCACAACATGAGGAACTGTATTTAAAGGGCCAGAAGGTTGAGAACCACTGTTTTAAGGTCTTAAAAGCAGAAAGAATGACAAAACGTTAAAAGTAGCTTGTGCTTAGACAGTTGCTAAAATGCCAAATTATCTTAATCCCAACCAAAGCAAGTTACAGAGTCTAGGCTGAATGTTATAAGTGAATATAATTCTTTATTTTTAATGGGAGCCTCCCTTTTATGTAATGTCTGACTATTAGCTCATGGTGGATATGTGTGAATAATTCAGTTAGATTTTCATTTACATTAAAAGCTGTTCTGTGTGTTTTAGGGGCAAGATTTACCTGGACTGTTACAACTGGCCTTCTCTCTGGGATAGGCCCTCATTTGGTTTGGGCCTAGTTGACGTCACTGACTAGGGTGGAAACTAAAATGCCTTTAAATCATAATTGGTAATTTATTTCATCCTTAGGCATGCTACTCTGTTCATAACAACACCACCAATTATTTCATTAAAAACAACAATAATTGCAACTAACATTTGATGTTACTCTGCATGACGGGCCCTGATCTAAGTACATTTACTGTCAACGAATTCTCACGTTAATCGCGTGCGGTATAAATAGTATTATCCGTAACTTACCGGGATAAGGAGGTAGGTCACCCCTGTAGTAAGTGGCAGGCCCCGGCTGGTGAACCCAGGCAATCTGCTTCAGAATTCGTGCTCCATGTTTAACCTAAGGAGGCCATACCAAGTTTGGGGTAGTCTTGTGTGTTTGAGGGAATTAACTGAAGATTTTTGCAAATGGGCCAAACCAGCAAATCCCCACTCTTAACGGTAAGCCTGCGCTCATGTGTCCTCACCTGCCCTCACCTGCCTTCCTCATTTTGTTGTTGATTTTCCGGGACTTATAACACTTTATTTATGCATGTGTGCATCCTCCAGGTTTGTCATAATGGGTCTGTTCCCTACGAAATGTGACTTCCTGAAGGGAAGGATCCCCTATTGTCATTTTAGAACTTTGATATTTACTCTTATTCATTTATCCAGTTAGTGGCAGGAATTTAGATGCTCTCCCATAATCTTCAATATTCCCGCCAAATCAACATACAATCCAAGTAGAAATACTGTGCTTGCTATACTAACCTACTGTAAGACACATCCCTTCTGTCCCTAGCCTCCCACGTATCAACTCCTTTCATATGCTGCCCTGTGTCCTGTAACTGTTTCAACTACACGGTCTAATGCCTGGCTCCTTCATTCTCCCGAGTGAACAAACAGTATCTTATTAAGTCCTTTCCATCAGGCAGTGTTTTAGGCCTTCTGAATTATGGCCATTATGGCAGCATCTGGAGTTCCCGCCCTTATGAAGCTCATGCTTTAGTGTGTCGTAACACAAGGCCAGACAGTATGAAAGTGCTGAGATGAAAATGAGGTAAAGGTGGGGAGGATTGAAAATGGTGAAGGAAGCTCAGTTTCCATCCCTACTATGTACACAGCACATAGTGGGTGCTTCATAATTGCTGGAATGAATGAAAATTAAGCTCAAGATAGAAATTTAGTCTATTGTCTTAAACTAGAATGAGCTGTTAGGTTATCATTCCGTTCTGAAGGGTGAACATTTGTTTAAGTGACTGTCCTTAAAGTTAGCCTCTGGTCCGAGATGAAGGTAGGCCCTGCTGAGAGATACTTGACTCGGATTCAAGAACTGGCTCACTTACTGAATTGAAACAGAACAACAATTTTCAGGGTCAAGTGTGCATGCATCTTTTAATTAATGAATTTGTTAATATATCCCATCGAGAGAGGACCACTGAAGAAAGATTTATCTCGCTTTGGGATGACAGTGAGAAAAAGGGAATAAATTAAGCATGCCAGCAACGGAGATGATTGGGACGCTAACAAAATGTAGCTCAGCCAGGGCTTATTCTCATTGAAAGTCATTCTGTGTCCTAGTCTGTCACCAGATGAGTGGCTTTGAAGTCTGCTACCCAGTGGCCCTGTTTGGCTTTGAAGGACAGCCACTAATTAGGACGCTGTGCATTGAAAGAATGCAGCTCTTTTCAAGTCTTTGTGAGTCCTTCCTAGAACAATGAACTCTGAAAGATTGGGATTTGCTTCCTGACTCTGGGAGGGGGAGAAAACAGCTCCAATGTGACCGCCTCTGAAAAGCTCTCCCAGCATCCTCTTCACCCCTGCCTTCTCCACACCCGCTAGTCTCTGCTCCTGCTGTCCTTGAGTTGCTTCATCCGTGCCTGTTTCTTAGGCTAGTTGGGACCCGGCAGGTGAAGGGGGCTACCTTGTTTAACCTTTTATGCTCAGCGCCTCACACAGTGCCTGGCGTGTGCATTGAATGTGATAAAAGTATTTGAGTATCGCCTCTTCGGAGAAAGATACATGTTTTCTGAGTCTGCATAGGCGCACTATTTTCTTTAGGCGAGTGTTGAAAGCATCCAAGGCGCACTGCTGCTTGTTGATTTAATCCATCAGTGCAGTGTGCCACGGAACACCAGGCCGCCTGCTCCTACTTAACGGGAGGGTGGCTTGCCCTTCCTTGTTCCAAGGGCCAGAAGGCCAAGCTCAGGCAGGGATTTCCCTTCGGAAAGGCCTCAGAAGTGTCTGTTGGAGCGAGTAAGGGGGCCGTGGATCACCTGGCTCAGAGCTCCTTTATGGAGACTTGGGTCCAAAGTCCACTTGTGGTGTCCAGGGTGGGAGAGGGCATGGCGAACAAAAACGTGAATAATCCTTGCATCTGGTTTGGCTAGAAAGTGTCAGTGTCCAAACCTGTAGAGAATTGTTACGACTTTATTTGAGCCAAACTGACGACAATTGCCAGGAAGCAAAATCTCAACAGATTGAGAAAATGCTCCAGAGAATGGCAGGGTGGCACCTTATTCTAGACAATGAACCTGTGCTAGTATAGTACATGGAGATAGGACAGGGGAGGAGAGGACAATGAGGGATTCTGTGGCCTCAGGTTCTGGAGGGAGATTGTGCCCTGGGGGGTCTAGATAAAAGGGGATTACTCTGACATTCCAAAGGTATGTTATCATAGCTGCCAAGACAATAGACAAACCCAGTTAAGGTGAAGATTGACCTTTGTCAAGAAGATTCTGGCCTAGGACATGTCTACCCCCATGACTCACTTTTAGAAGCAAGTTGTAATTTCAGACCATCCTATGTGGTTACTTTAGGTCTCCTGGTTTGCAAAGCCGCCATGCAGGCCTCTCCTGAGCTTGTCAGGTTTAGTATGTGGCTCCTTTTTTGTCCACAGAAGGAAGGGTACTTGCTCGAGAGCAGCTCGGAGGTGAGAGTTCTGTTTTTGTTATAACTTGGGA